AATACTCAGAATAAGCATCACAACAGTTTTTCAAAAGGATATTACTTAAAATGCTCCATAAGTTATAACAGCTAGAAAACACTTTTCAGACAAATAAAGTCCGATCTACATAATTGGGAAAATATCAGTTGCTCATGGGTAGGCTGAGCTAATATAATAAAAATGGCAATTCCACCTAAACTAATGTACTTATTCAGTGCCAGAACAATCAGACTGCCAAAAAATGATTTTATAGAACTAGAAAAAAGAATAACAAGATTCCTCCAGAAGAACAAAAGGTCCGGAATATTCAGAGAATTCATGACAAGAAATGCAAGGGAAGGTGGCCTAGCCATACCACATCTTCAACTGTATTTGAAAAACAGCAATCATCACAACTACTTGGTACTGGCTAAGAAACAGAGTGGTGGATCAGTGGAATAGGTTAGGTACACAAGACACCGTATTCAATGACTATAGTAATCTACTGTTTGATAAACCCTAAGACCCTGGCTTCTGGGATAAGAACTCACTATTTGACAAAAACTGCTAGGAAAACTGGAAAGGAGTATGACAGAAACTAGGCATAGACCAACACCTTACACCATAGACCAACATAAGGCCAAAATGGGTACATGAGTTAGACATAAAGTGGGATATCATAGGCAAATTAGGAGAGTAAGGAACAGTTTACCTGTCAGATCTACAGGGAAGGGAAGAAGTTAGGACCAAATGAGAGACAGAGAGCATTACAAGATGCAAAATGAGTAATTTTGATTATATTAAATTGAAAAGATTTTGCACAAACAAAACCAATGCAATGAAGATTAGAAGGAAAGCAGGAAGCTGGGAAACAGTTTTTGCAGCAAGTGTCTCTGAGAAAGGCCTCATTTCTCAAGTACATAGAGAACTTTAGAAAGAATTTAGAAGAATACAAATCATTCTCCAATTGATATGTGGTCAAAGGATACGAACAGGCAGTTTTCAGAGGAAGAAACTGAAGCTATCTATCTATAGTCATATGGAAAAATGCACTAAATCACTATTGACTAGAGAAACGGAAGTTAAAACAACTATGACGTGCCACCTCACACCTATCATATAAGCTCTTGTGACAGAAAAGAAAAATTACAAATGCTGGAGAAGATAGAGGAAAACTGGTCCACTAAGGCACTCTTGGTGGAGTTGTGAAGTGATCCAGCCATTCTGAAGAGCAATTTGGAACTATGCTCAAAGGGCAATCAACCTTTGAATACCTTTTGATTCAACAAGACCGTTAGTAGGTCTATATCCCAAGCAGATCCTGAAGAAGGGAAAGGGACCCAGATGCACAAAAATATTTATAGCAGCTCTGTGTGTGGTAACTGTGGGGATGCCCATCAATCGGGGAATGGCTGAACAAGTCATTGAATGTAATGGAATACTATTGCGCTTTATGAAATAACAAGCATGCAGATTTCAGAGAAACCTGGAAAGACTTACTCATGTAAGCAGAACCAGGAGAACACCGTACACAGGAACATCACCATCATGCAAGGAATAGCTAAGATAGACTTAACTCCTCTCATGAAGACAATGATCCAAGACTGTTCCAAGGGACTCATGATGGAGAATGTTCTCCACATCCAGAGAAAGAACTAATGGAGTCTGAATGCAGATCGAAGCATACTATTTTCACTTTCTTTTTTTTTCCTTAGCTTTTCCCCCCACTGTTGTTCTGTTTCTTCTAATATGGAAATATGCTTTACATGATTGCTCATGTATCCAATTGCTTACCGCGCTAGGGAGGAGAGGAGGAAAGCAGAGAAATTTGGAATTCCAAGTCTTATAAAAATGAATGTTTAAAAATTGTCTTTACAGGTAATTGGAAAAATAAAATATTACCTAAAACAAACAAAAAGAAATAACATCGGTGACGCCCGCTTCATACGAAGGTTTCTGAATTGGTTTTCATACTCATGAGTTGACCGTGTTGATATGCAGGAGAGCACAAAAGCTGGGGGGGGCTCTAGTGAGGCTGATTCCCTGGTTGGCTTTGATGATTTTTTTGCCTCTGCGTTCTCCTGTGTGACCAAGGGAACACCTCTTGAAGCAGGGTATTCTGTCGGCTGCTGAAGATCAGGAGGCACGCCATATAACGAAAAGGTTTGTCCAGGTGAAACCCACATGTCAAGGTTAATGACCTCCCATGGAGCGGGGCATTCTTTCTGACTCTTCGAGGACAGAATCTTCCTCTCTGGAAGCAGATCCACGAGGCAGTGAGTGTGACATTATGGAGGCAGATAGGGATGGGGTGTTGTCATCTGCCCAGGGTAGAATGAAGAGGACACATCACTCTTGAGTCCTCAGGCACCATCGCTGTCCAATTTAGGATCCAGGCTGGACGGTTGGCACCGAGGACTTGGGACACTGATGGGTGGAAGAAATGTTTGGCTGGCTGACCTTGCATACACACAGAAAAGCAGGAGTGTATTTGAACACGATCTCTTCGTAGGATTACCAGTGTGGTGCTGCAGCGCGATCATAAGTGTGTGAGGTAGATGGAAATGTGCTACAGAAAACATGCAAGAGGCAGTATGGTAGAGGGGAGAGGGCATGGGGCTTGGAGTCATCGAACCCGGGTTCAGCTAGCCCCGGACGAGGCGTGAAATGGATTTTTGGAAAAGGGAGACGGAATGGTTTGTTTCTCTCATGTCTTACCATACTGAAAATGCCAGCTTCCTTGCTCTCCCCCTGCCCCCCTCTTCTTCAGTCTTTTCTATCGCTCAGGGCTCTGACAAGGCAGCGGGACACCCAGGTAGCCAGCAATTGAGGGCATCTGTGAACTGCTGGTCCCCCATCAAGGTGATCGGGGCGCCCCGCCTGCCCTTCCTGGTAGGTGGGTTTCTGCATAGCTTTTGGAGCCCTTTGAAGAAGAAACGGAAAGGAAAGGAAAGGAAAGGAAAGGAAAGGAAAGGAAAGGAAAGGAAAGGAAAGGAAAGGAAAGGAAAGGAAAGGAAAGGAAAGGAAAGGAAAGGAAAGGAAAGGAAAGGAAAGGAAAGGAAAGGAAAGGAAAGGAAAGGAAAGGAAAGGAAAGGAGAGATGACAGGGAAAGTGCGGGAGGGAGGAGAGCTATGCAAATATTGAGCAAGCCAGGAAGCAAAGGCTTCTGGGTGGCAGGAAAGTCACTTCCTGGCCGAAGAGAGGGCTACGATCTGGTAAAGGTCCATTTTCTGGGGTGCCTTTAGGCGACCGTGTGTTTGCGTAAAAGCGCCAGGCTGGCAGCTGTTTTGTGGAGTGTAGGAGGTAGCTGAGGGCGGGAGAGGCTTGGTGAAAGGCTTCGTAGTGGGCGCGAGTGGAAAAGGCTGTTGCTGCGAAGGGGGAGGGGAGTGGGCGGCTTGCTCTTTATCGCTTCTCGGCCTTTTGGCTAAGATCAAGTGTAGTATCTGTTCTTATCAGTTTAATATCTGATACGTCCTCTATCTGAGGACAATATATTAAATGGATTTTTGAACGTGGGAGATGGAATAGGAGCTTGCTCCGTCCACTCCACGCATCGACCCAGTATTGCAGTACTTCTGGGAACGGTGCACTTCCCTTCGGGGGGTACCTTGACGCGTAAGCAAAAAGAAAGAGACACGAAGAATTCCGTTGCTGTCCCAAGAGACCAGGAGTCAGAAGTGCTTTGGCTCCGGCTTGGCTCCGCAGAGGGCCGACAATCGCCTTCCCCCATGCGAGTTGCACTTGTCTTCCTAGCGCTTGCCTGGGGAGAGGTGGGGCTCAGTAGCAAAGAACGAATGCCTTTCCTTCCTCGAAAACGCATGCAGACAGTAATTTAAGCCACTGGATCAACTAGCCTGCATTCCAAGGAGACGTTTTGAGGTGCCTGAAAGCAGAGGACAGCGACCGCTCAGAATGACGAACCTCACCTCGAATTTTAAAAGCCACTGCATGATTTCTTCACTTTTCTCCAACGCGAAAACAAACAAACAAACAAAACAGAAAAGCTTTCAAGCTACACACACTCGCAGCCGCGCAGGCAAGTCCCTCCCCCTCCCCTGCAAACACCCCAGGTTCTGGATGAAAAAGGAGACTACAACAGTAGGCTTCTAGGCCTGCTTAGCCGCCCCTGTCCTATGCCATGACAAGCACCGAGAACTCACTGACAAACCAACCCACAGAACCTAGGAATCCATCACAACTACGTGTACCTTAGAAATGCTGATCAGCACAGGGACCAATCGAGATTCCTGCGGATAGGTGAGTGAGTGGTGGTGCAGTCAGGGTGCAGAATGAGGGGCAGTGTGTTGTTGGTTTGGTGTTTTTGGTTGGGTTTTTTTTTTGGGTCATACTCAATGAGGCTATTTCTTTTGCCCTCTACTCATACATGTTCCAACGGTTTTCGGTTTTGCAGCAGTGGAAGGTGATAGGGAGAAAATAAAACTTTTGTTCTTTGAAAAAATGCATTTAATTCAAAACCAAAACCTACTCATTGACTGCTCAGGATTACTGTGGGCACCGAATTTCACCATGCAGCAAAAGACAAAAGGAACCCGGTAGAATATCAGGCAAGTCTTTTCTTTTCTTTCTTTCTTTCTTTCTTTCTTTCTTTCTTTCTTTCTTTCTGTCTTGTCTGTCTGTCTGTCTGTCTGTCTGTCTGTCTGTCTTTCATTCGTTTTCTCCCACAAAATGACTAATGTGGAAATATTTTACGTGATAGTACATGTATATCCTATATCGGATTGCTTACCACGTCAGGGAGGGAGAGAGGAGGGAAGAATGAAATTTGGAAACCAGAACTTTAAAAGGAACGTTAAAAAAATGGTCCTTACATATAATTGGTGGGGAAAATAAAAGATATGAGAGCTCGTCCTGGAAACCGTGAAGCAACATATGTCCCTAAAACCTGTGATGAGATGGAGTTTTCTCCACGCTTGGGTAACTTGCAGGAGGTCAGGTTATGTGCGGAGTGTAGGCCTCAAAGGGTTGAAAAACGGCGTTGGAGATGAAGGTATCGTTATCCCCCCCCCCCCCCCGCTTAGTTAGGGAAGAAGACTGAGAGCAAGGATTGTCCAGCACCACCTCGGGGTCTCAGAGGCGGTTTTGACTAGCAGCAGCAGTTTGGAAAGCACACTGACGACGGGACTGCTTGGGGAGAGCTTCAGAATAGCGAGCTGCTTGCTTTGTGGATCGCGAACAAGCAAGGAGACGCACTGTGGCAGAAAGCAGGTAGCAGCTGCAGGACCTGTGACTATTTTTGGAAGACTCGAGATCAGGGGAGAGCGCGAACGCAGTCCCCCACTACCACAAATTATGCAGTCGAGTTTCCCGCATTTGGGGAAATCGCAGGGGTCAGCCCATCCGGAGTGCAATGGATAAGCCTCGCCCTGGGGAAACCACCTTCGTGATCATGGAATCACCCCTGCCAGGTAAGTATGCGCTTACTGGTTACACGCGCGCACTCCTCCACCACTCACACACTCCAAAGTCATGCTCACTTACGCAGCACTTCCGCTTCTCACACAACACGCTACATGTACACAAACTACACAGCTTCCCGCACTTCGAACAGAACGAAAGGAGCTAGGCCTCTCCGACCCTCAAAAAAATCTCCATTTTCCAGCCGCAAGACCTGGTCGGAGAAAACGGGACCAGAAATCTCCTCATCTGCATACGCCCTGCCTCTTCCTGACGACGTCACCCACCTGTGTCTGAATGCACACCGCCATCTAATGGCTGTTCGGAGGAACTTTAACGAGAAAAGGAAAGCGAAGCAGTGCAAACCTCAAGTGTTTTCCTCAGCTTAATGAGATCAGACCAGGTGCTGGGCTTTGGTCCTTGTCCAGGCTTGGAACCGAGCCCGTCAGAAGTCACACCTCCACGAGAGTTTGGACCCTTTCTGGATTAGCCGTCCTCCTCATCATCCTGCCCAGCTGCGATCCCACCTTCTCCCAGAAAACCCTTTCCGACCTCCCCAGTCCTGGAGGCGGAGGCTTGAGGACAGCACCAGTGAGACCGTGGTGGCCTGGTCACTGACAGGCTTCAGGTCGGGCACGTCCATAGCACAGCAGACCCTTGCTCTGCTGTCCCCCCACCAGCTGCCTCGCAGACCTGGCCCTAGAAGACCCCTCTTTGCTTGACTGCAGCAGCCACGTCCTGGCCCTTTGGCTGTGGGCAGGCCCTTAACATCTCTGGGGCCCCTTCCCGAACGGCAAAGGGTCATAACGATCGTGAGTTAGACCCGGGAGGAATACTGGAGGCTTTCCAGTCCATCTTGGTTCACGTTTTAGGAAAACGAGGCTCTTGTTTTCCAGCTAGTGCCCATTTCAGACACTTGGACAGAAGCAGCCACAGGGTCAGTGCCTGTTGAGTGGACTTGGAACGTAATGCATTGCTTCAGACACCTTGCTAGTGAGAGGGGGAAGATCTTCAAGTATGATGAAGTTGTCCCCGAGTCCATCTTGTCCACCTTGTTCCTGAAAAAGGGATCTCTTTGAATAATAATAACTGACATCACTGTAGAGAGATATTGGGAACATCGGTTTGACTGGTATGCCACCTGTTCCCCCACTTTCCAGCCTCTAGCATTAAATTTCCATTCCTCATTCATACTTCCCTGCTCCTTATTAATTAATTTAGAAAATATCCTCATTTTGCTGGTCCTATAGGTAATAAGGAACTTTACCGTTGGTATTATTGGTATTATACTGCAACTTTGTCTCAAATGATATAAGTTTGAACCTGGAGGAGCTCAGGGCCTTTCAATGGAGAGTGGATACCACCCTTGCCTCCCTACTGCCCCCTTCAGTCATCAGGCCCACACACCAAGCCTTTCCGAGCTAGCAGCTGTTCTCTCCATGTGAGTAGCTGTGAAGGTTGTTAAAGCTATCTCTTTGTGCAGGAGTTCTTTATCCAAACGCTCCTGCATCACTTATGTCAAGCTTTAAAGTTCCGTGATCTTATTTCAGCCTCACAACTGAGAAAATAATCAATAAACATTTAAGTTCCTACTAAGTGTCAGCCCTGGGTTGGGCTCATGGGAAACAAAAAGAGGCAAAACAAACAACAAACAAAAGAGTTCTGGCCCTAAGGGAGTTTACAATCTAATGGAGAAGTTTACAATCCAATGGAAAGTAGATAATGTAATAGGAATAGCGATTGGATTCAGCAAAACAAGTTTACCTACTCAGGGAACTCTCAATATGCGTGTATTAAGATCTTACTAGGAGTCAGGCACTGTGCTAAGCCATGGGGATACAAAGAAAGGCACGTGCCTTGTCCCTATCCTCCAGGTGCTTACGCTCTAATGGGGAGAAAACATGCAAACAAATATGTCCATACCAGATACATACAGGGTAAAACCAAGGTCATCTCAGAAAGAAGACGCTGGGGAAGGCAGAGAGTGGTGAAAATGTATCAAGGAACCTAGAAAGGCATATTGTGTAAATGGGATTTGAGCTCTTTTGAAAGAAGTCAGGGGAAGCCAGAAGATGTAAGAGAGGAAGTAGAACAGTCTAGGCAAGGGGGACAGCCAGGAAGAAGACACAGTTAGGAGATGGACTGTTTTGTGTGAAGAACAGCAAGCAGGCCAATGTTGTTGGATCAAAGAGCTGGGATATAAGCAGTTGGTAACACCATATTGGAGTTCCGGAGAAAGGTTTGGATAAAAAGGTTTGAAGAGCCTCTGCATGAAGAGCCATGGGTGCTAATGAGATTAACAAGCCAGATCATACGGAGAGCGAAGAAAAAAAGATCAAGGACAAACTCTTGGAATAGATCCCTTCTTAGTGGGAGGTCAAAGTCTCAACAAAAAGAGATTGAGAAGGAGGTATGAGACAGAGAGAGAGACAGAGAGAGCAGTGTCCTAAAAACCTAGAGGTAACAGGAATAGAGGGTAATGTCAGAGGCTGCAGAGAGGTCAAAGATGAGGACTGAAACAAAGGCCATTAGACTGAGCAATTAAAAGATCAATGGTTACTACTGAGGGTGCAGTTTCAGAGAATAATGAGGCAGGAAGCCAAATTACTGAGGGTATGGAAGAGAATGAAAGGGGAGGAGGTGGAGGCACAGATTGTAGATGACTTTCTCAAAGTGAGGAGTAGGGCAGTAAGCTATTATTGGGAATGGACAGATTAAGTGATTTTTTTTTTTGAGGATGCATATTCAGGGATGTGTTTGCAGGCTGTGGGGAAGCAGCCCTTCAATAGGGAGAGATTGAAGATTAGTTAGAGAATGTGGATGATAGGGCAGATAGAATGCTGAGTTTGAAATCAGGAAGATGAGTCTTTCTGAGTTCAATTACGGCCTCAGACACTTACTAGATGTGTGATCTTGGGCAAGTCACTTAATCCTGTTTGCCTCAGTGTAAAATGAACTGGAGAAGGAAACAGCAAACCACTCCAGTATCTTTGCCAAGAAAACTCCAGATGGAGTCATAAAGAATTGGGCATGACTAAAACAACTGAATAACAACAATAATAGGGGGACAATAAGAAAGAACAATCTGCCCGAGAAAATGGGATAGAATGGGATCAAGGATATCCATAGAAAGGCTCTCCTTAGCAAGCCATAGGCCACTTCTTCTGAGATAGCAATGAATGAGGAGATTAGTGTTAGAAGATGTCTGGGTGATATGAAATGAGGAGGAGGGAGCTCTTGGTGAATGCTCATTTGTGTGTGTGTGTGTGTGTGTGTGTGTGTGTGTGTGAAGTGTGAGACTAGCCAAAAGGATGGGGATTCCATGAGGGGGACTGAGGACTGATAAAAGAGTTTAAAAACCTGCTCCAGTGAGTGAGATCGTGAATTGCTTAGGGACTTATAAAATGATTGCCTTGTTGCAATGAGGGCTGTAGTTAGCATGGTTTAGTGATTTTCTCCAGTTCTATTCAGCAGTGTTATCACTAATAGAAGCAAATGCCCAGATAGTGGGAGTAATCCAAGGTTGGAGCTTGGTAAGGCTCCCTCTGTGGAGCAGCCAGGTGGTACAGTGGACAGAGTACTAGGTATAGTGTCAGGAGGACCTAAATTCAAATCTGGCCTCAGACAGTAGCTGTGTGACCCTGGGCAAGTCACTTAACCCTGTTTGCCTCAGTTTCCTCATCTGTCAAATGAGCTGGAGAAGAAAATGGCAAATCACTCGAGTATCTTCGCCAAGAAAAGCCCAAGTCAGACACAATTGTAAATGACAAAACAACTATGAGGCTCCTTCTATGGAATCTATAGTCTTAGAAAGTTGCCTACAACATGAAAGGGTTAAGTGAGAAGAGAAGTGCATATCTTTCCTCATCAAGACAAAGCAGATGGGATCACGGATTTGGAACAGAGCTTTTCATTCTTCTGTGATTCAATGGCTCTAACCATCCCCATCGTCCCTCTATGTCACAATTCTTCAGTTTCTGCTAATTCTGAAATGTGTCCATGTAGCTAAGAACTTGGACATGTGATCAATAGGATTAATCTCAGCATCAGTACATCCAAAGACATAGACAAGAAAAAATAGTCCTAGAGTCTGAGATCTGTCACAAGACTTCTATGGGGTGTAAACCACCCATATATAAAAATAAACAGAATATTTCTTTATTTTTAAAAGAACACAGTACATCCCTGTCATGAATTCAGGATTCAAATATTTTAAATCTGAAGAAAACCATGGGAAAAAAATTAGGCATTTTGAAAGACTAGCACCACAGTATAAAAAAAATTACAAAACATAACACCCTAACCATAAAAACAAACAAACAAAAACCAAACCAAACCAACAACCCTTTAATTCTCATGATTTAGCCTTTCACAGGTGCATAGACAGACATACCTTTGAACACCTTTGCAGAGTTAACACTATTTCCCAGAGCAATTATACTGGGGCAGCCTAAAATTTGGTTTGCAGAAATCTTAAATACAACAATTTTTTTCAATGAACTTTGCCTTCTTAAAAATTTCCCAAAACCACAAGTTCCAGAAGAAGATGAAGTATTTCCCAAGCTTCATGCAATTCCCTCATATTCATCCCCCATGTCCCATGCAGCTTCCCATTCTTGCCCAAGGAAACCTGGAGCCCTGCTTTTACAGTGTATTCCCTCCTTTCTTAGGCTTGGAATCAGTCTTTACTTTTTTTTTTTTTTGAGGCAATTAGTTCTGATTCTGATTCAATACTGGCTTGATTTATTCCATTATTTCCACATTTATAAGAAAATAATTGTTGAAAGGCATGTTGGAGAAGTCACTCTTTCTAGACCTCAGTTTTCTAATCTGTAAGATGGGGATAATAATATCATCTAACTCACTGAGTTGTTGTGATGATCAAATGAAATAATATATCTAAATATAGCTAAAGGACTTTGTAAACCTTAAAGTGACACATAAATGCTTATTACTTATTGTTGTTGTTCAGTCATTTTCAGTCATGTCTGACTCTTTATGACCTCATTTGGGGTTTTCTTGGCAAAGCTGGAGTGGTTTGCCATTTCCTGCTCCAGTTCATTTTACCAATGAGGAAACTGAGGCAAACAGGATGAAGTGACTTGCCCAGCTAGTGTCTGAGGCTGGCTTTGATCTCAGGTCCTCCAGGGCCTGTGCTCTACCCACTGCTCACCTAGCTGCCCCAGGAATCGGTCTTTATGAGGAGCCCAACTAGCCCCTTTCTCTCAGTTATTTTTTCATTTTGGGTGGAGTGGAATCCACAGCAGACTCCTACTTGGCTTCTCTCCTATTGTGCATGGAGAGAGGTCCTTCCACTGAGTGTTGCTAGAATATTAACTGTCCTGAGAAGAAAAGGAAAGATTCCGTGAGGGTAGAGACCCTTAAAACCACAGGCCAAACCCTAAAGCTCTAGACACAATTATCATTTGTATTCCCCTCTTCTTATTCCAACATAATGTAATTGTTATTTTTGCTTGTGCGATGAAAAGAATGTTTTCTAGGGGTGGGGAACCTTCGCCCTTGAGGCCACATGTGACCTTCTAGATCCTTGGGCACAGCCTTTTGACTGAGTCCAAGTTTTACAGAACAAATCCTTTTATTAAGGGGATTTGTTCTGTGAGATTTGGATTCAGTTGAAGGGCTACGCTTGAGGACTTACTTAGAGGGCCACATGTAGCCTTGAGACTACAGGTTCCCCACCCCTGTTTTAGACCATATCATGTTTTCTGAAAATACTTCAGGAGACTTGGACAAGGAATATACATCAAAAAGCAGAAGTGATAAGATTTTTGTATGGGAACAACAGATTCCTTTTAGGAGTGTACATATGTGTGCATACATGTGTATGTGTGTTTTGACATATATACATGTCAAATACATAGCTATAATATAACCCAGGTGCAGAAGAAAAGTCTTTGATTTAATATTTTTAAAATTAAATTTAACTTTTATTATTTATTTCTCTTCAAATCTCTTTCATTCTTGCACTTCGAGAAGAGATCTCTTGATACATATGTAAGCACTATGTAAATTGTGCCATTATTAAAATCTGATCATTTTGTTATGTGAATAAAGGCTATACTAATTTGGGGGAGATTTAAACTCACAACCTTTGAATGGCTTTCTCCTCACCAGAAGTTGTAGCTATATATAAAGGCTAAATGATTTCCCAGCGTTACAAAGTTAGGAAGTATGTAAAGCAGGATTTGAACCCAGGTCTTCTTGACACAAATATATACCTTTAGGTCTGTGTATATGTGTATATATAATATGTATGTATGTGTGCACATGTATGTGTGTATACACATATAACATACACATATACACACAGCTGTAATATCTTCTACTAAACAGAGCTTAAAGGAAAAAAAAGCATGAAATAAAGCCAAACTAAGCATCGCTTATATGGACAGGAATGAAAAAAAGGAGGGAGAACTCAAACCATAGGTGCAATTGTTAGATCAACCAGATAACACTTTTGGAAAACTATTTTCTTGGAAATGGTGCCTCTAAAGGAAGGTAGAAATTCTCCCAGCTACTCTGGGAGCTACTCCTTCCCTCTGTAAATACAAGGTAACTTTTAGCTTTCAGGACGA